CAGCGGGCTCCAGGGCCACCTCTGCTTGTCCTCACCATCCACTGTTTTGATAGCCACAACTACAGGTTTCTACCCATTTTACGCATCCACTAAGACTTGGAATGTTTCCTGTACAACTTCAAAGTTTCCCGCAAGGACAGAATAGGAGATCTACGTAAATATTAAAAAAAAAATCTCTGGCTCTTTGAAAGAGTTGGGTGGGCGTGGTGCCACACATTTAATCCCAACACTTGAGAGGCAGAGGCGGATGGATCTCTGTGAGTTCAAGGCCAGCCTGGTCTACCAGCGTGAGTTCCAGGACTTCCAGAACAGGCTCCAAAGCTACAGAGAAACCCTGTCTTGAAAAACAAACAAACAAAAAGAAAAACAACAACAACAACAAAGAATACAGTATGTGCTAAAGGGAAACAAAAGCCAGGGCTAATAGCTCGGTGGATAATAGCACTTGCTGCTCTTGCTGGGTTGCATTCCCTGCACCACGTGGTGGTTCACAACCATCAGTAACTTCAGTTCCAGGGGACCCTACACCCTCTTCTAGCCGTCTTGAGTACCGCTTGCAAACTTACATGCCAGCAAAACACAATATTTAAAATTGTACTGTAAAGATGACTCAGTGGTTAAGAGCACTGGCTGCTCTTGCAAAGGACCTGGGTTCAATTCCCAGCACCCACATAGTGCCTCACAGCTGCCTCTAACTCCAGTTTCAGAGAATCTGATGCCCTCTTTTGGCCACTGCAAATACATAAAATAAAATTTTAAAAAATTGAACTTTAAAGAAAAACAAAAAGTAGGTTTTTTCCTGTCTCTGCAGCCATTTGTACTTTATAGATTTTCTTTAACGTTTAGAATATATCAAATAATTTTCTTATTTCAACACTTTTATTTTCTGGTTAGATTCTTTTTAAAAAAATATTTATTTATTATGTATACACTATTCTTTACGTGTGTATGTCTGCAGACCAGAAGAGGGTACCAGATGTCGTTACAGATGGTTGTGAGCCACCATGTGGTTGCTGGGAATTGAACTCAGGACCTTTGGAAGAGTAGGCAATGCTCTTAACCACTGAGCCATCTCTCCAGCCATGCTGGTTAGATTCTTAATCATAACCTTAGGTGGTTCCCCCTTTCACAGAACACACACACACACACACACACACACACACACACGCACACGCGAGCACCCTAATGACAAGCAAGTGAGAGGTAGAAGTGTCTGGAGAGAGAAACTCAGTGGCAGGAAAGGGAAGAAAGAGGATAATGTGTGAAACTGTCAGATTTTATTTTTTTAAGGATGTATTTATTTTTACACATGGAAGAGCTCACCTGCATGTATGTTCAGGTACTGCATGCACACCTAGTGCCTGTGGAGGCCAGCAGGGAGCGCCAGACCCCCTGGAACTGGAGTTACAGACAGTTACTGTACCTCATGGCTCCTGGGAAACAATCCCAGGTTCGCTGCAAGAACTGCCAGTTCTCTGAAACTCTGAGCCATCGCTCCAGTCTCAAAATAAAAATGTAAAACCATTACCTTGCCTAAAAGAAATGATTGTTTATTCTAATCCAAACATGAGGGATCATGGCCCAGAATTGCCTCAATCAGGTTGCCTCAATAGCGCGTTTGAGTTCTTGGTTTTGTTTCTAGGTTTTGAGTTTTTTGTTAGTTTGGTTTGGTTTTTGTTTTGAAAGAGGGTCTCGCTATGTAGCCTTGGCTGGCTTGAAACACTATGTTGATCAGGCTGGGAACTCATAGAGATCTGCCTGCCTCTGCCTCTTGAATAATGGGACTAAGGGAGGGGTGTTACCGCACCCAGCCCCTTTTAGAACCTTTAAATGATAGCCATCATTTCTTTTTGTTTTTGTTTTTTCTTTTTTTTTTTCTGGGCACTTGAGTTCACAATGTAGATGTTGGGAAAGGCAGATGGGGCACATAAAACAAACTAGCCAACGAGGTGAGCACTACCTAAAGGAGATTGAATCAAATATAAAATACATTTAGAACAGTTTCTGGCATGATCTATAAAAATGCTCATCATTTATGAATATAGATTACAGCAACTGAAACTTCTGAAATATGCTGTAGTAGTTCTGAAAATATCAGTAATAGATTGTACAAAATGACATCAGACTGCTATATATTGTGAATTGTAAGTTGCTGTGGGATAATGCTCTTGTACACTGTAAAGACTTGTCACTCGTATTGGTTTAATAAAATGCTGATCGACCAGTATCAAGGTAGGAAGTATAAGTGGGGAAACCAGACTAGGAGAACTCTGAGAAGAGGAAAGGCAGAGAGTTAGTCATCAGCCAGATGCAGAGGAAGCAAGATGAGAATGCCTTACAGAGGAAAGGTACCAAGCCAATTGGCTAAAGATAGACAAGAATTATGGGTGAATTTAAGTTGTAAGAGCTAGTTACTAATAAGCCTGAGCTAATAAGCCAAACAGCTTATAGTTAATAAAAAGGCTCTGTGTGTTTCTTTGGGACTGAACAACTGCAGGACCAGGTGGGACAGAAACTTCCATCTACAGTAAGTAATATGTTATATTCGGCAAGGTTCTCTAGCGTCACAGAACTTATAGAATGAATCTATGTATGTGTGAATATAAAGGGGGAATTGATTGGAATGATTTAAAGATTGCAATCAAGCTAATCCAACCATGGCTGGCTACAAATGGAGAGTCCAAGAATGTAGTAGTTGCTCAGTCCCACAAGACTGGCTATCTCAGCTGGTCTTCTGTAGATGCTGGAATCCCAAAGAAGTCGGCTCCAATGCAGGGAAGGAATGGAAGTGCTAGCAAGGACATGTGCTCAACCATGTTCATAGCAGCTTTGTTTGTCATAGCCAGAACCTGGAAACAACCTAAATGCCCCTTGACCGAAGAATGGATAAGAAAAATGTGGTACATTTACACAATGGAGTACTACACAGCAGAAAAAAATAACTACAGCTCGAATTTTAGAGGAAAATGGATGGAACAAGAAAACATAATTTTGAGTGAGGTAACCCAGACACAGAAAGACAATTATCACATGTACTCACTCATAGGTGGTTTTTAAACATAAAGAAAGCCAGCCTACCAACCACAGTCCCAGAGAACTTAGACAACAATGTGGACCCTAAGAGAGACTTACATAGATCTAATCTACATGGGATATAGAAAGTATAAAAAGACAAGATCTCCTGAGTAAATTGGGAGCATGGGGACTTTGGGGGGAAGATTGAAAGGAGGAGGAGAGAGACAGGGTGAGGAGCAGAGAAAAATGTAGAGCTCAATAAATATCAATAAAATAAAAAAAGACAAACCAAATAAGAGTGTTTATATTCAGAGGACGCTCTCAGCTTATGGTGCTCTATAATAAGCATAAACAGAATGGGGCAGCAATACCCTTTTATGAATACCAAACATGTGACAAGATGTCAGATGTCAGTCGGGGTGGAATATAAGGCTCATGGCAGACGGCTTGCCTGCCATGCTTGAGATTCCAGGTTCAATTCTTAGCTCTGCAGGGAAAAAAAGTCAGTGGGTATTAAAGGAGCATAAATAGCCTGGCATTGTTTCCAGCTGCCGTGGGATGATGGGGCATAAGGGGGCTCTAGGGGTGCAGAGGTATCGATGTGCCGAAGAGACAATAGTTACCTTCTAGAATACTCCACCAGATTCTTCACAACTGAAGGGTAGAAATAGGGATTAGAGACAACCAGGGCAAAGACACTGGTCACAGCTTTTCTTTGCTTCATGAAGTGAATGGGTTTTCTCTCTTTCTAGGATGCTCTTAAGCGTGGCCTTTGTCACCCTCGCCTCCATACTCTGACCTTTCTAGCACTCATCACTCTCAACAACAGTGTCAACCATACTGCCCCGTCACTTGAGTACCCCTCCTGGGGTTCTTCATGACACTTGTCACTTGAGACCTCACTCTGCTTTGGTGGTTCATTGGATCCTTTCATCTCTGGGCAGAGATGTTATGGTCTAGATTCCCATTCATATTCAAAGCGTAATCACCAACTTATAGTATTAAAGGCAATAAATTTTATCGTAGAGTCCACATGGATGAGATTGAGCTCTGAAAAGAAGTGTGGGGTCGGTTGTGGTAGCGCACACAGATAGGATTTGCTGAAGGAAATGGATGCAGGAGTATCATGAGTTCAAGGCCAGCCTGGGCTACGCGTTGAGCTGCAGCGATGACTCAGCCGTGAAAAGCGCTGGCTGCTCTTCCTGAGGTCCTGAGTTCAATTTCCAGCAATCACATGGTGGCTCCCAACCATCTGCAATGAGATCTGGTGCCCTCTTATGGCCTGCAGGCATACATGCAGACAGAACACTGTATTCATAATAAATGAATGCATGAATGAATCTTTAAAAAAGAAAAGTGCGGGGCCTGATTGATGACCCGAGTTCCATCCCCAGAAGCCAGGATAGGAATCTGGACGAGCTGGCACACATATGTACTCCTGGCAGTTTGACAACGAGATGGGCCATGCACACAGGAGAATCAGTCAGCAGCTTACAGGCCGACTAGCTCGGAATACATAGGACAGCAGTGCAGCAAGAGACACCCTGCACCAAAGCAGGCTGGAAAAGGAACCACTCCTGACAAATGCCCTCTGACACAAGGGTCACGGAATGTGCTTACATACATGCACAGGTCTGCGTGTGTGTCGTCCCCCCCCCCAAATTTAGACGAGGATGCCGTTTTTTCTGTCACATGAAGAGACACAGCTAGAATATGAAGTCTGTCTTCCAGAAGCGAGGTTCCCACTAAACAATAAATTCATTGACTGACCTTGAACTTTCTATTACACAGAATATTTTTAAATATTAGAAAAGGGTTTCTTTTTTTAAAAAATTATTTATTTTATGTGCATTTGTGTTTTGCCATGGGTATCAGGTACTCTGGAACTGAAATTATAGACAGTTGTGAGCTGCCACATGGGTGCTGGGAATTGAACCTGGGTCCTCTGGAAGAACAGTCAGTGCTCTTAACCACTGAGCCATTTCTCCAGCCCCAAGGGTTTCTAATGAAACCTTTTTCATTTAAAAATGAAAGATAGACAATCTAGATGGACTAACACAAGAAGTCCATGCAAGCTTCATCTTTGGAATTTTATTTGGCAAGACAAGATGGCTCAGTGAAACACACTTGCTGCTAAGCAGAGATAGCCTGAGTTCAATCCCCTGGACCCAAATATGTGACTGAATACTGGCCCAGAGATATGGTAGTAGAAAACTGCCAGCCCATCATGTAGAGGGTGCTGGGTTCAACCCCTAAAAGAGAGAAAAGTATTTCTGCTATTTAACCTTTCATTCCATCTCTAAATCCAAGCAATCAATATGCTGTCAAAATGTAAGATATTACAATGATATGATATCAACATGAATGTCAACAAACAAACAAACACACGTTTCTTAGGGCAGGCATGGTGATGTAGGCCCATAGTCCCAGCAGGAGAATCAGGAATTCCATCAGCCTCCTTGCTTACAGGGAATCTGAAGTTAGCTTGGGCTCTATGAGATCCTGCCTCTTCTTGCTTCCCTGGGCACTGAAGGCACACATCGTGCAGATATATCCATGCAGGTAAAACACTTAAACCTATGAAATAAAGTAAGTGCTTATTAAAGAAAAAAAAAGATGAATAACCTGAAGCTAAACATGAGGCAACAAAGGTGGCAGTGGAAATTGTGTTTCAGGAAGATTGTGAGCCCTCTGGGTCACAATGGTGTTAAGTATTCTGATGTAAATATCCTACCTTGTGCTTTTTAGCTATTATATCTATAAAACATTATTGTGTTGGAGTCAAGAATTATCCAAATATGAAGAAACAGCCAATTTCCTTGTGGAGACCCAAATGAAAAATTGGGGGGGGGGGGGAGTGGGGCAGTTTAATAGTAGTGAAAAAGAGAAAAAAACAAGGCCCATAATTGAAGCTAGTCATTGGTTGGTTGGTAGGTATTTATTTTTAATTCAACACACATTTACATAACCGTTTTCTTACCTGCAAGTAAGATACTTTATAATTTTGCTCCAAGCGTCACCTCTTTGTTACAGGGTTATGAGGTGCAGGCAGTCCTTTAACAGAAGTGCAGGAGCTTAAATATACTTGGTAGCGTTTCTTAGAAACCATTGTAATCCAACTCTGCAGTACAAAATGTTTTCTCCTTTGAAACGTAGGTTGATTCTTTTGTTTCCTGGGGGGAAAAAACAGAAAGCTATTATTATCCCTCTGCGAGGGGCTTGAGCATCCACCTGGGGGCGCCAAATACTATTGTTCTTTTTCCTTAGTGGAGAACGCCAGAGAGACGGTCCCTGATTTTTTTGGTCAAAGTTGGTGTTTCTTTAAATAACTTCCCCACTCCAGGGCGGGGAACAAGCCTGCGCCTACCTTTTGTTGCCAATTGAGCGCATACGTCACGCAATGGACTCTGGAAGACCGAGTCTTGGTGCCATGATGAAAACGAGCATCGCAGGAAACGCTGGACTTCAATTCCCACAATGCCTGGCGCGATCCCGCGGCTCTGCATGGGAAATACGAGTGGTGGCGGCCATCTTGCGTATGGAGCTGCTCCAGCACCGCATCTCTCAAGCTCGATTTTGTGGTTGCGTCTGAGACGGTCTTTCACTTTTTCGGAGGTTCGTATCTTTACGGAAGTTGTTTTGTTTTGTTTTGTTTTGCGGGACTGGGTGGAAGTACGTGCAGAACTGTGGTTTGAGGAGCAGACGCCCCAGTGTAGGTGAGGGAGGTGCTTCCGGTTTCGTCTGATGCGAACAACTCAAGTTTTCACCCTTGGCTTGACTCCTGCTTCTGACTGTGAGCGGGGAAGCCCGGAGAGAACTTCAGCGTTGGAGGCCGCCGCAGAGTCTAGACGGGGCCCTGTTTGTTGCCTTCCTTAGGGACGGAGAAGCCGGGGAGCCTCCGGCCAGGCCTAGCGCTCGGGAGGCCTTGAGGCCCAGGTCGGGTACTGGGTGTTCGCGTACCCCTTGCGCTTCCTCGGGTGTCTGTGACGTTTGAATGAGGAAACGGGAAGATGGGAGTGAGGCGAGGGCTGTTTCCGGGAGAATGGCATTCTCGATATGCGGTTGGAGCTTCCTTCGGCTCTCCTAATGGCCTGTCTGCTTACGGCTTTAGTTTGTGGGCTTTGGGTTTGGAGTCCAAGAGCGGGTGAATGAAGTACTGACCAAAACGAGAGTTTTGGCTTCTTAAGGGTTCAAGGAAATTACAAGAGAAGCCAAGTTGTGTTTTGTTTTGTAGACACAGTGTCACTCGGTAGGCCAGGATGCTTTGGAACCCAACTGTGTAGTCGGCCGGTCATGGCCTGAAGTCGCTTATTGGTAGATTACAGGTTTGAGACACTGCTTGTCAAGAGAAATTTAACTTTAATTAACTTATTGATGGGTCTCGTGTGGTGCAGACTGGCCTTGAACTTAACTGTGTAGCCTAGGCTACTCTACAAAGACTGCAATTTAGTTCGTCTAGTGTGAATGCCGAGGGGATGGAAGCTTGGAAGCTGAACCCACTACTCCAAAAGACAAAGAGATTTCCAAACAGCGAGGGATTCATGATGCAGTGGATCTTAGCCAGTTTGGAAACAAATGCCAGTTATGTATCTATCCACACGAGATAGGGACTCAGTTTCCAAACTCAGGTGCTTACACTCTGGAATGAACTGTTTAAAGATGGGACTGGCTGCACGGGCCTGTAATCTTAGCTACTCAGGACCATGGACAGTTAAGGCGTCCCTGAGCTCTTCGGAGAGATTTCAAAGCCACACTTGTCAGTTTAGTGAGACGCTGTCTCAGCATGAAAAGGGGGGTAGGATGTAGCTCTGCAGTAGAGTGTTCGTTTAGTATGCATGAGGTCACGAGCTCATCTTCTGGGCCTCCAAAAAAAAAAAATGAAGTGCACATGTATTTTTGAATGGTATTACAGTAAGACTCCTCCTGTAAATTATTGTTATGACTTAAAATAAGTGGTTATAAAATTGCAGTTTGACTGTAATTATTAAATGCTTATGTCACAAATTCTTTTTTCTAAAATTCCTTGTGAAAAAAAAATTGGTTTAAGTTTTTAAAAATATGATCTAATATTTGTGTGCTTTACTCTTCAGATGCCTTATAGTGAAATTGAAGCTAAGTTTTTGGGCCCTGGAAAAGATCTAACAAGGGAATCGTGCTGTAAGAAACTGAAGTCAGCTGCAGGTGATTGTGTTTTCTCCCGTCAAGGTGGTCCTGATCGTCACAAACCCCAAGAGAAAACCAGAAATAATAGGGTCCCAGTGGCCACCATTAACTTCAGAAGACGTCCTCCGGAAGACAAAGCCAGAACTCCAGATGCCTTGACGCCTAAGGAGCTGCCTGATAATAAACTAGGAAGTGTTGAATCCACTGAGTCACAAGCTTTGCAGGACGGAAAGCCCCCGTCACTCTCCAGGGACGATGGAATCTATAGCACAAGTAAAGCGTTCATAGGTCCAATTTACAAACCCCCCGAGAAAAAGAAGTGCCGGGAAAGGAAGAATGAGATGGACACTTTGAATAGAACAGATGACAAAAGAAGACGAGAAGAAAAACAGAAACTTAACTCCAAAAAATTGGAGATTGACACGGAACTATCCCAGTTTTACAAAGAAATTGAAGAGCTAGAAAATGAAAATGATACTTCACAAGGCAGTAGTGAGGTCCCAGAACCTTCCCAGGAAAAAATTATTCCTAAGGGCCAGGCCTGTGATACCTTAAACTCTGAGGAAGCAAAGAAGGATCTCAGTAATGCTCTCCAGTCACATTGCGATTACCAGTGGTACCTGGAGGATGAACCAGGCCAATATCCCTGTGACGAACAACTGATGCCTACTTTTTGTGAGACTTCATTCCCTTCCTTCAGGCCTGAATGGCAGGCAGTACATCCTTTCGTCATACCTCATGGTCCTCCTCTTCCCAGTTTTAATTACCATTTTAATATTCAACGATTCAATGCCCCACTAAATCCACCACCAAATATTTTCCATGGGCAAGAGGACTTTCAGGTGCCAAGTGGGTGTTACGTGGACAGTTGTCAGGGTAGCTGGAGCAGTTTGACTTTTGAACAGAACGATGAGTATACTAACTATGGTGTGACTAGCAGTAATGTTCATCCCTTTAGAGATGGCTACAGTGGACAAGATGAAAGTGTGAGTAACGGTTTCAGTGAAATGAGAGAGTGCTGGAGAGATCCTTCCATGGAAGAGCACACTGGAACAGACAGGTTTGTGAACCAGTGGTTTCCAGAAGAGAAGTTAAATAAATTGCAGAAATTACTTATTCTTTTGCGAGGCCTCCCTGGGTCTGGAAAAACAACGTTGTCTCGGTAAGTAAAGGATATTAAGTGAATACTTGATGATTTCATTACTTAAATGAGTTATTAGTGATAAACATTTGCATATTCCTAGTAGAAAATTTGTATGCTGTATTTGGGAGTTTTATCTGACTGGAAATACTTTGAAAGGGAGAACTGATGTATATATATTTAGCTTCTTTTAAGAGCTTTAAAAAACACTATAACTGAAACAGCAACAAGCAGTGCTACGTAAGAACTTGGCTAGGGACGGGCAGTGATGGCGCACGCCATTAACCCCAGCACTCGGGAGGCAGAAGCAGGAGGATCTCTGTGAGTTCGAGGCCAGCCTGGTCTGCAGAACTAGTCCCAGGATAGCTAGGGTCTGTTACAGAGAAACTGTCTCCAAAAAAAAAAAAAACCCAACTTGGCTAGGCTGTGTAAGTCGGCTATTCAAGTAAAGCTAGACTAGGTACTAGAAGGTCTGGGCTTTGGTACTTTTTCATTATGTTGTTGGGCAAGTTTTGCTGCTCATTAATAGAATGGCGGATATTTATTTTCTTAGAATTTGAAAAACCAATTGGGGCTCTTGAATGTGTTAAGCACTATGCCATTTCAGTACCTTATTTAGGATAGCAATTTTTTTTTTTTTGAGACGGTTTCTCTGTAGCTTTGGAGCATGTCCTAGAATTAGCTCTTGTAGACCAGGCTAGCCTCGAACTCACAAAGATCCTCCTGCTTCTGCCTCCCAAGTGCTGGGATTAAAGGCTTGCACCACCACTGCCTGGCTGGAATAGCGATTTAAAAAAAATTAATTTTTTTGTGTATGGATGTTTTATTTACATGTGTATCTGTGCACCACTTCCCAGAGGCCAGAAAAGGTCTTCAGATCCCCTGGAACTTGACTGACAGATAATTGTGAGCCTCCGTGTGAGTGCTGGGAATTGAGCCTGGGTCTTAAGAAAGAGCAGTCAGTGCTCTTAGCCATTGAGCCGTCTCTCTTCAGCCACGTGGGACTGAATTGCTAGTTTTAAATTTTTTAATGTGTTGAATTGAACACCCTGAATGTGGTGTTAGAACTGTTGGTGTTTTTATTACAAAATATTTTTCTTGTAGTTTATATAGGAAAAGTAAAAAATAATATCTTTGGATGAAAGCTAGTATTTGAAGAACTTACAGATATTTAGATTTATATTTACTTGTAATATGGTCTAAATAAATAAAACTTCTTTAGACAAAAACAAATTCAGTTTGTAGTATAGATTTTCAAGCAAGATTTTAAACTGTGTTAATTGATTCATGATATTTCTGTGAAGGTTTTGTAGAGATATGAAATTGAGGCTTACAAATATGAAATTATTGTCTTACAAACAGACAGTGTTCTGGATTTAGACTATATTGGAGAAAATAGTTGAGAGTTGGAAATTGGATAAAATAGGTCTACTAGCTATAACTGAATATAGAAAAATAAAATTAAGAGAACATATTGGAGAATATTAGAATGGAATGCAGTAGAATCTCAAAAGAAAGACCTGAGAGATTAGATAGAGGTGATTATACCTGTGGGTATTTGCTTGAAGAAAAGGTAGAACACTTGAGTGGAAAGATGCAGCAGTTATCATCTATTCAGGAGACCAAGGCAAGATCCCAGATTCAAGGCCAGTCTGGGCTAGGTACCAAGTTCTAGGAGAGGTGAGAACACTCCCCTAAGTGGGTACTTAATAGCAAGTGCCATTTGTGTCACAATTTTCTATTTAGAGATACTTTGACATAGAAAAGGTTGTGAAATGAATTGTTTTTCATTTTATAGGAGCAAAGCCTAGAGGTTAACAGAAACTACTATTAAAAATCAAACCCCTCCCTCCCCTGGAACTGAAATATTATAAGAGATCAAAATGATAATGTGCTTTCCCCCTATGTTTTCATTTTTAAAAGGCTTGAAAATTCTATTTATCCATCTACTATATTTACGTGTGTACATCTCAGTGTCCCAGCCTTCATTTTTAGTATCTACTCCATATGTTCTTCTGTGTGTGATTTTTCCCTTCGCGGAGCTTGGTTAAACAGATAAGAAAACACACACAAACACACGAGTATCTCTTTAGATTGATGGATGTTGTTTAATGAAGACAGCCTCCCCTTCTAGTTGATTTTGGGGGTGGTATTTGGTTTGGTTTTAGTGTTTTGAGACAGGGTTTCTATGTAGCCCTAGGCTGTCCTAGAACTCACTAATATAGGCTAGGTTGATCTCAAACTCACTGCCTCTCAATGCTGGGATTAATGATGTGTGCCACTACACCTGGCTTGACTCCTTCATTAATCCTTGGGTCATTTGGCATCAAATGTAAAACTATATACTCTTATGGTGAGAAAGAGCTTCATAGGAGTGTTAGCTTTCAAAACAAGGTTTGAAGAAAGAAAAGAGTAAAGAATTGTTTAGAGCGCTACTCCATTGGAGAACTAAATTAGTTTACGTTTGATCATGAGCCCCATTCTTCTTAGTTTAGTCCTTATTTCACCACCTCTGTACCTGTTTGCATTTGTTTGCTCCTGCTGATGTACAGTGGCTTATATAATGCTGCTTTAAATGCCTCCTGTTTGTTTTCTTTCTTTCGGAACTTACTGTGTAGTCCAGCATGTCCTGTAGCCCACTGAGAAGCTCTGGCTGTTCTGGAACTCCTGCTCTCTGGTGCTTCAGCTTCCCCAAGTGTTGGGATTGTAGACATACACCATAACATTTTGAGACTTTTATTTATCTATTTTGTCCTTAGTAATTTCTGAATTTATATAGCTTTTACCCTTACTACTTTGTGTTAAGTATAAGCTATACAAGACAGCATTATCTTTTTAATCATTGACCTAAGCTATTTTAGTTATAAGAAGGCAAGGGCTAGTTGTTTCCGGGAAACTCTGCCACCTGCTTGTTAAAATTTTGATTATTTATTATTACTATTTGATTGTGGGGTCGGCTGGGGATAGAACCTGAGCTTTGTGCGTGCTGTGCAAGCATTCTCTTGCTGAGCTTCATCCCTAGCCTCTGGTTTTTTGATGAAGGGTCTTTCAAGGAATCGCAGGCTTGCCTGAAATTTGCCCTGTAGCAGACAGAGGCTGGCCTCAAATTTAGGATACTCTGAGTGCTGGGATTATAGGTATGAATCACTACACTTGCCTTGCTACTATCTTTTAATCAAAGTATTAGACTAAATTCTAATAGATACTGACTTTAAATACTTAGGACTAAGCAAGAGAAACACATTTCATACAACGATTGTAGGTATGTTAAAGTGGAGGTTCTGCCTTTCCAGGCTACCTGACAGCACTTCAGTAGGTTCATTTGAGGCAGAATTTAAGGACATTTGAAATAGAATTTTGTTACTGTTGTAGTTGTTCTTAGCCATTTTGTTACTATTGTAGTTGTTCTTAGCCAAACAAGAGTACTCTGACCTAGTGTTTGGACATAGATCCATTTAGGGACAAAGTCTTGAGTGGGTGTTTGTTTGTTTGTTTGTTTGTTTGTTTGTTTGATTCTTTTACAGAAGGTAGAATGTAGATCAAAGTTCTTTTACTAAATCATGTAAAGGAAAAAGGAATGGGTTTAAAATACGTTATCTATTTAATATCTTTTACTCTGTTGATTTCATGTGTGAGTATATTTTCAGAAACAAGCCATCAATCTCATCAACAAAATGTGTTTTATCAGAGATAAAAGGAGGTTGAAATATTTGTAACAGCTTGCACTCCATTTGGAGACTAGTCCTTGCTTAGTTAGCAAGGGATATAATTTCTCTAATTAGGCAGCTGCTTAGGCTATAGATTAAATCATCCAAATGGTTTGATTATCTGTGCTATAAAGTATTTTTAAGGTAAATTATAACAATTATATAGAAATTGTACAATATATGTTTTGTATTTCAAATTTATTCAGTACTGTAAGCAGAGAACCAAACTTGGCAACAGCAGCTGCAATTTGTTCAATGTCTGTTTGTGGAGCCTACTGCCCTGAGAGGAGATAGATAATAATTATACAAGTGAGGATGTAGAGTGGTTTAGTAAACTTAACTTCATGCCATCTCTTAAAAGTGCTAGAGTTAGAACTTTAGACTTCTAGAGGTAACTTCAAAACTTGCCTATTTTTTCCAACCATACACTCTCCAACATGATGAGTGGCCTGCACATTTGATGATGACCTCATTCATTCATTCAAAGTCTCACTACGTAGTACAGGGTGTGCTAAAACTTGTCAATTTCCTGCTTGCAACACCCTGTCTAGCTTTTGCTGAGGATTCTAAAGCATGAGACTATGCCATTGTCCCTTAGTACTTAGGTGAGTTGGTTGTCGGCTCCTGTACAGTACTCTTCGATACTTAAGTCCTTGAATAAAAGGGTATCACATTTGTATATGCTTTATACATATATTCCTACATTGTACTTAAATGATCTCTGAATTCCTTAAAATACCAATACGATGTAAATGCTGCATACTTACTTGTAAACTGGGTATTTTCAAATAGTTGGGAAAATGTTTAGTAGTGGTAATAGTATATATTTGATAGATTTATGAGAAAAATATTTAAAACTCTGCCTTCTGGCTTATGCCATTCAAAAAATAACTACAAAATAGATAAAAGAGTAAAATAAAAAAAAATAATCTGAAAGGGGGCTGGAGAGATGTCTCAGTGGTTAAGAGCACTGACTATTCTTCTAGAGGACCTAAGTTCAATTCCTAGCAACATGGTGACTCACAGCAATTCATAGTGGGATATGGTGCCCTCTTCTGTCATAAAGGCATGTATGCAGATAGAGCCCTCATATACATAAAATAAATCTTTAAAAAAATATCTAGACAAAATATGGATTGAAGAAATATGTAACAAGATGGCACCTGCTGTCAAGCATAATGACCGGAATTTGATCCCTGAAACTCACATGCCATGTGTGCCTCCCCCAACACACATACATACACACACGCGCACACACACACACACACACACACACTATCTTTTTACTTGCTAAAGAGTAAAGAGCAATGGCTGAAGAAATGACTCAGGTTAAGGGCCCTGGTTGCTCTTCAAGAGGTCTAGAGTTCAATTCCCAACAACCACGTGGTGGCTCACAACCATCTATAATGAGATCTTGTGCCCTCTTCTGGTAGAGTGGTGTATACATAATAAATAAAGAGTAAAGAGCTGCTAAAAATACCTAGCAATTTACCATCTAGGAAATAAAAAAAAACAAAGAATTTGAAAAAACAGCTTTTGGTGTTAATGTGTATGTGTGTGTTGTTGTTTTTGTTTTGTTTTGTTTTGTTTTTTCCCCCAGAGAAGGTTTCTCTGTAGCTCTGTCTGCCCTGGAACTCCCTTTGTAGATCAGACTGACCTTGAACTCACAGAGATCCACCTGCCTCTCATACCTCATACAAGTGCTGGGATTAAACCACCTGGCTGGTTTAACATTTTTATTTAAACCATTTAGTGTGGTAAAGTGCTACGTGTGTTACTTTCTGAGGTAAAGAGTACTTGAGGCTAAATATTTGAGATGATATAATTATCCTGTGAGGGCCCAGTGTAATTACAAGCTTCTCCATATGAAGGTGGCAGGAAGGAAGATCACAGATAGAAACATAGGAAGCAGAGATCAGAGAGAAGACCCCATATTGCTCACTTTATACTAATGGTCAAAGGCCCCACAAACCAAGATAATGAGTGTGCCTAACCTACAGAAACTAGAAAAGACAACGTTCTCTAGAACATAGGGAAAGACAGGTCAATAGAAGGGATTTTGGACTGCTAACCTTCAAAACTGCAAGCTAATGAGCTCTGGTTGTTTTTGGATCCTATAGTAACAGTAACTGTAGGGATTAAAAGCACTGTTTGAAAGTGATGAGATTTTTATTCCTACCTTTCTTTGAAAGAGAGTGGTCTTAATTGAACTCAGGAGATACCTGTCTCTAGTCTGGTCTTAAGTTCCTTAAGTTTTACCTAAGAAAATTAGGTAGGTCCTGAAGCACTTGGGTACAGCGCTCCTGCACCAGGGGCTCAGCTTGTGCCAGATTCACTTAGTTTTGTTTGTTTTAGTTGTTTAGGTTACTAGCCCTGTCTGGCCTAGAACTCTTTAAAACTTACTGTGTAGGTATCATGACTGCCCTGAAACTTTAAAGCTAGGAATAAATTCATTCAGAACCATCCTGGGGAGGATGAGCCAGGATCATTGTAGGCCATGGCTTTGGGAGTCAGAGGTATTCTGTGTCCAGCACTGAGAATTTCATTTCATAGCTCTTGCTCCTTGCTGCATATTAAACTCCACTGGCTGAACTTCTGTATTTATCTTCTTTCCTGAACTTGTTCAGTACCGGATTGTCAGGGTTTTGCGAATTGAATGAGATCATAGATATATGTGAGGCAGGGTAAGTTCTCAAAAGATAGCTCTTTTGAGAAACTGGCTCAGATGGCCACTGATAGCGCTTAATTAATTGTTTGATTTACTAAGTTCCAAGATATTAACATTTTGAGACTTCATTTAGAAGACCCGATAATTCCGAATATAAGAATTTTGAAATTACTGCTCTTATTTTTGGTTCAGATGCTTGATAGAGTGTCCATTCCTAGGTTCATGAGCACTTTTTGAATTTTCTGAAGTGAGCTTCAAACCTGAGATAGTTGTGTAGTTTGAAGAGGATGCATGCACACTTCCTGTTGTCTGGGTAGAAAATGCCTTGTCAGGCTCAACAGTTACTCATGCTTAATAGATTTTAAAAAGTCTTCAGGGAGATTGTTCATGTTTTTCTGTTGTACTAGTTTAACGATAAAAGTGGACTACTGTTTTCCTGTTCTTTTAACTTGGAGAACTTAAACCATTTCTTAAGCACAGTGGTATTATTAGCATCTTAAAAACCACCAGTTAATAGGTTACAGAACCAAATAAAAGCATGACTTTAGGAATGATGACAGTCTGAATTCTGGTACTGTTTAGTATAATTAGCTATTATATGGTAAGTTACAATCAAAATCTCATTTTGAGTGATTGAGCTCTGGTTTAGAATGCTAATATTTTAATTTTGATTAAAAAATTTTTAGATTTTTAAATTTTTTATTTGTTAAGTGTTTTGCCTGTGTGAGCATGCCTGGTGCCCTTGGAGGTCAGAAAAAGGCATTGGGTTCCCTGGAACTGGACTCATACATAGTTGTCAACTGACATGTGGGTGCTGGGAATTGAACCTGAGCCTTCTGCAAGAGCACTGACAGATCTTAACGACTGAACTGTCTCTGCAACTCCATCATTTAACTCTTTAATTTTTCTTACATTCACAAAATACTTAGAAATCTTTTGTAGTTTTTTTTTGAAATCAGGCTTTCTAAGCTAACATACAAACTATCAGTTTCATTGTGGTATTTCATACATAATTGTTCACGCCTCACGCCACCCACCTGCTTTCCTCCCTTCCTCATAGTTCTCCTGCTTCCTTTTCACAGGTATTATGGTGCTTTTTCCCCTCTCCCTCCCTTAAGATCTCTATCCTCTCATGATCCTTTTCTAATTTTCTGGCCTAGAAAGAGCACATATATAAACACACATAATCGCAGTCTGTCTGTCTGTCTGTCTGTCTGTCTGTCTGTCTGTCTGTCTGTCTTTCTTTCTTTCTTTCTTTCTTTCTTTCTTTCTAATCGGGGCAGGGTTTCTCTGTGTAGCTTTGGAGCCTGTGCTGAACGTGCTCTGTAGACCAGCAGACCTCAAATTCACAGAGATCCACTTGTTTCTTTAAGTGCTAGGATTAAAGGTGTGTGCCACCACCACCAGCCTAGTGTCTCTCCCTTTCTAATACCAGGGAACATCTATAATTATAAAAGTAACACTGTCCTTCCAGTTTATGTCATGTAAATTACTTGCACAGGCCAAGGTAAGTAGAATGGATTTGGTTTCCTTTTTTTTTTTTTTTTGTTTATGAAAAAATACTGTGATGGAATAGCTAAAATGGTTAGATTAGATCTGGTATCTAGGATTCTGAATTCTTTTCACTTTCTACTGTTTGTCTTTCTGTCTCCATATCCCCACTTACTGTATATCATTGTAAGATGGTATCTTTTTTCCCCCAAAGCAGAACTTAGTTATTACTGATCTGATCTGAGAAATTTTTGTTCAGTGTACAGTGATTTAATGTACCAGTCTCTAAAATTTATTATACTTTGGAGAATCACGGGTTGTTTGCCATGTTATGTTTTAGGCTATTTCTTCCTCTCACATGTTGATCATCTATGTTTGTGATTAGTGGAAATGAGTTTGTGAAAGCTGTCTTGGATCAAATATGGTTTTCCCAGATGGATTGCTTACTTAATCTTTCTTGGTTTTTGGGTTACTTGTACTAGAGAGAGACAGTTCTAGGCTTTCAGTACCAGTTCACAGAAAGCTAAAACATGCATAATTGTTAGCTGAGTTATTTGGGAAGCAATGCATGGTTGTTTAAAGTCGCAGTACAAATGCTGATTTAAGGTTTTCATATCTATAGTTGGATAGAGTGAAATATGAAGTGATGTTTAGAATCTTGATGATCTGAAAGAATTAGCTCCTCTGCTCTTCTGTCTACAGTGTCCTTAAGGAGTCAATACCAGGTGTCCAGTGCTAACTTGTCCCGTGATTCCTTTATCTAGTCATAGATCTTATGGTTTCTTTTGTTAACAGAATTCTGCTTGGTCAGAGTCGCGATGGCATCGTGTTCAGCACTGATGACTATTTTCATCATCAAGATGGGTACAGGTACAATGTTAATCAACTTGGTGATGCCCATGACTGGAACCAGAGCAGAGGTTTGTTTTGGGCCAAGGCTCCTAGGATGGAGTATTGAGTCATACCTGGGTTTTATTTTGACTTAGACTTTTACTGGCTGAGTGACTTTGACAGACTGTTAATAACCCAGAGTCTTATGTAAGACATGATAGTAATTGTATTTGCCATCTCAGGTAAAGATTGTGAGAATCGGTGAACTTAGATAAAGTGGGATGAACTGCAGACAGTATACCAATATAAGCTGATAAAATACAGGTGGGGGACATTTTAATACGCTTTCTTTTTTGCACTTTATGAATAATTTTAAGAACTCTGATACTTTTGTATTCCGAAAGCCGTTTGCACCCCATATGATGCTAGTGTCTTTAAATCTTAATAAAATGCCTGTATTAGTTTTCCTCATTGGTACTATGTTATGAGAACTTTATCAAATACTTCAATTTTAGAACACATGGGTCAGTTTCTTTCCACCATAAATAGTGGTCTCAATCTTGATAGACCATTTGAATCAGGTGGGAATCCTCCCCTTCTTTAAAAGAGGGTTCGACCTTGGGGCTCAGCCCTAGGAATTCTGCTTTGGTTTGGTTTAGAATGAGGACTAAAAACTGGACCTTTGCAGAGCAGTCACGCACGCCTTTACTCCCAGCACTTGGGAGGCAGAGGCAGGCGCATCTCTGTTTGTTCGAGGCCAGCTTGGTCTATAAGCTAGATCTAGGACAGTTAGGGTTGTTACACAGAGAAACCCTGTCTCGGAAAAACAAACCAAAAACAAAAAAATGAGCCTTTAAAATATTTTCATTAAGAATATTTTTTGATGTATAAAGGTGTTTTACACTTGGATATAGATCTCTGTAACTGGAGTTACAAGCAATTGTGAACCACCACGTGGGTGCAGGGACTTAAACCTGCATCCTCCAGAAGAGCAGTGAGTTCTCATAACAGATGAGCCATCTCTCTAGCTCCAGGTGTGTGTGTGTGTGTGTGTGTGTGTGTGTGTGTTAAATAATTAGATCTAGAACTATCTAAAAATGTCATTTGCTCTAAATTACTTTTAAAGGCCTATTTTTGGGGGCTGGAGAGATAACTCAGCGGTTAAGAACACTGCCTGTTCTGCCAGAGGCTCAGGGTTCAGTTCCCAGCACCCACATGACAGCTCACAACTGTCTGCAATCCATCTCCAAGTGATTTCACACCCTTATACAGAGACATGTAGGCAAAACACAAACGCACATAAAATAAAATAAATCATTTAAAAAGAAAAAAAACCATACTTTTGGGTTGACATCATGGCTCATTGAGTAAAGTATTAACTAGTCTCTAGGATCTGCCATTCTTAAACGTACCTTATTTATACTCCTTGGTGCTGAGACTCAATGCCCTGCAAGAAGCAGTTTAAAGACAGTTTTATTTTGGCTCACAGTTTAAGAAAGGATACATGGCAGAGAAGGCCTCACAAGAACACGATGCAGCTGGTCACAGAGTATCTACTGTAGAAGTTAAAGGACCCATTTCCTCCAGCCTTGCCCCACCTCTTAACAGTAACTCAGCCTTCCAGAATGGTATTACTACCAGTAGGGGATTCAAATATGTGAGACCATGGGAGACATTTCCCCTTTACACCATAAACAATGCTGTTCTCTGCAATGTTCAGTCTTGAGAACTGTTCAATCTAGTTACAAACAAAACAAAACTTGCGAAAAGTGTCTCATGATTTTTAAGTGAGTTTAAAATTTTGAATTGAGCCACAAACCCTGATGATTCTCAGCCACATACGGTCTATGAAATGCAGGTTGGACATGCCTCATTATGTTATGTTGAATTTAGTGGTTTGAATCCTGTATATTGAAAAACTTTCCATCTTTGCATTCAACTTTGATAATTTTTCTGAAATTAATTTTCTTGTCTAATATCCCAGAGGTATACATATACTGCTGTCATTAACAAATGGCTCACTGTGAGGGGATTCTTCCCTCATGGTCGAGATGACTCTGGAATAGAGTTTAGGTTGCATTCTCATCAGTCACATATTTGAGATCATGATTCTAGGAAGTCTCCAAAAAACAGCTGAACTGTGGTATTGAGCTACTTGATATATGACATTTTACTTGTTGGTAATGCCTTTCTTTTATACTAACATTCAAAAACATCACTTTAAATTCCCTTTTTTTCTCTCTCTCTTTTTCTCTCCATCTTTATTTATTGTGTATGTGTTTGTGTGTGTGAGGGCAGGTGCATTTGTGCTCAGTGTGTGTAGATCGAAGAACAGCTTTTTCAGGAGTGATTCTCTCCTTCCATCTTGTTTTGAGGCAGAGTCTCCCTTGTTTCTGTTGCTGCACTGTACTCCAGGCTAGCTGAACTGTAAGGTTTAGGCTTGTTTTCCTATCTCTGCTGTAACATGAGGGCCGGCTTGTTGGGGTATCTGTCCTGCCCGGTACCCACAGCCGGCAAGTCCCAGAGAAAATCAATCACACAGAGATCTCTATAAGTTATAAAGCTGATTGGCCCATTAGGTCAAGCTACTTATTAGTTCTTATGACTTATCTTAACCCATTATTCTGATCTATGTTAGCCATATGGCTTGGTTCCTTTTTCAGCTGTCAGCTTACATGTTGCCTCTTCAGTGGTCTGCGCAGGAATGGCAGAGGAAACTCCCTGCTTCCCAGAATTCTCCTGTTCTCATTGCATCACCTCTACTTCCTGTCTGGTTTTCCCGCCTATACTGCCTGCCTGGCCAATCAGCGTTTTATTAAAATATGATTGATAGAATACAGACAATTCTCCCGCATCACTCTGCCTCCGTCTTTTTTTTTTATTAAAAAAAATGACTTTTAGTATCAATAGGAACATTGGCCACAGTCCACATCAAGTCAGAGGAAGTGTCAAACACATGAAAGCTGTGAGGAGATTCACTTCTTCTTCCCTTTTGAAGACTTGGCAAATATCTGCCTCCATCTTGCTATAAGAGTTCTGAAACTATAAATGTGTACCATTGCCCCTGCTTTTTAATGTAGGTTCTAGGGAATGGGCTTGGGTTTTTAGGCTTGCATAGCAAGCAGTTTTCTGTCTGAGCCATGTCTCTCATATAATTTTTATATTACAGAAAAACTTACTGTTTTGACCTATAAAAGATTAACCTTATTGCCTCAGTGTTTTGTTACACTTTTCATTTAAAAATTTCTTTCTGTGTAAGCAAATCTCTGCTTCTTGTACTATGTCATTTATCATCTGTATTTCCTATTAATGAAAATTGGGTCTAGACTGAAAGCTTCATTAGCTGTAAGTGAACAAACAAGTTTCAAGATGTGTTTTTGCAATTTATTGGGGTTTGATTGTTTGTTTGTTTTGTTAAGACCAGCTTCCAGTCCAGGAAATACCTTGTATTTTATGTCTGGTGTATGTCTGGTATTTCGTGTCACTTACTGAAAAGATACTACAATTTTTGTTTTAAATGAAAGGATGTATTTCTTAATACCAAATATTTAAATTTTATTTATGTTTTTATTACAGCAAAACAAGCTATTGATCAGGGGAGATCTCCAGTTATAATAGACAACACTAATACACAAGCCTGGGAAATGAAACCGTATGTGGAAATGGTAAATCATGACATGCAAGTTTTGTCCTTTTATTCTTAACTTCCTTTTGTATTCTGAAATTTTGGTCTATTTAATCTTTATTATTAGACATTTCCCCCTTGTTTTCTAAATAGTTTTGTTGGGTTGTTTTTTTTTTGTTGTTGTTGTTATTGTTTTAGCTTAAAAATTGGGAATGTTGTTTATATTGGTTGAATGTGCGCTTCTTCTTAGATACGCCTGAACTTGAAGATAATAATTGGAATTCATTCTATTACATAGTCTTAACATTTTTCTAAGCCACATTTTACCGAGAAGCTTTTTTCTTGGTTGAGTGCTCTTCCTGTTGTCAAATGAAACTTATATCTGTGTGCTTTCTTTTTCTTAAAAATGTTCTCCGGGTTTTGTCTTCTCCCTCCCCGATGTAGGCCATAGGAAAAGGATACAGAGTAGAGTTTCATGAACCGGAAACTTGGTGGAAGTTTGATCCTGAAGAATTAGAAAAGTAAGAGCCTCATTTTTATTGAATCCTTATCTTGTTTCTTTAATTTGTCTTTGTGTATTTGTTTTTTTCTGGCTTTGCTTGTCATCTTGTCAGTTTTGAGCAGGGGCTGTTTGTTTTTTTAAGAGGAACAAGTTTTTGAAGAGCTTTGCCTTGTCAAAATTCATAACTATCTTTTACTAAATGTGCTTGGTTCTTTTTCTTAATGTGAATTCCTTTATTAAGTTTGTTGACTAGGATGATGTGACAGTAGAGCTTCTCCCTCATCCCACATCATGTCCTTATTGGAGGGCCCATCACCAGCTTTGTGTCTTGTGTTTTCATCTTTCTATAATTCCATCCCAAAAGAGCCTTGGAATCGCAGTGTTTGGGAATTCCCTTATTCTTCTTTTTCTAGGGTGGTAATGTGATACATTTAGCTTGTTTTATTATCCCATTGGAGTTTGTGGCAATATGTCATTTCGGACATCTTAACATTTCTGCTGCACTGGTTTCTGTGAATGGATGGTTTCCAGCCAGGAAGATTTAGGGTTTGTGGGTTTGTTTCTGAGTTGTTTGGAGGTTTTGTTTTGTTTACATCATATTGAGAAAATAAGTCCAGAATTTGGTATATGCTAGGCAAGTACTCTTTGTGTCTTTCTAGACTTCAGAATGAGAGCCTTGTGAGAGACTGGGTTGGGACTTGGAGCCTAGTTCTTTCGTGTTTGCCTGTGCCCTTTCTTTCCTTCATCCACTACTTGTCTTGTCACTCTTCTTCCCTATCTTGGTTCACTTCCTTTTCAGTAATAATTTTGTTGAGGTATCATTCATAAAGCTTACTACTTATCCATTTGAAATAGACAATTCAGTGATTTTAGTTTACTCATAGAATTATATAAATGCCACTCCCTTTTTAAACTGACTTTTTCACTTTTTATCTTCCATCAAAATTTGTCCCTTCCTGCTTAAACTGTTTTTATTTTTCTGGTGCTGTTGATAGAGCCCTAGAGTGCACACTGTAATCACATTTTGCCCACATCCTCAGTGAGGCCCAAGTCACTTATTTCCCCATCTTTCATTTCTTTAACTACTCTTTGTGATTTTTGTGCTATATGATGGTAATATCTGATTGGCATTGTTTGCCTACCAAACCATGTATGTTACACTCAAGATGGAAGAGTGTAAATTTAAATGGAAACTTTTTTGTTTTATGTGACAGGGTTTCTCTGTGTAACAGCCGTGACTACCTGGCCCTTAATTGGAAATTTAAAGCTAAAGATAGTTGAATCATGGTATATAAATGGCTGAGTGATTAAATTGTCCTGTAGTTATGGCTTCATTTATGTTTGAGAGACTTGTAACTTAATAATTTGTTTGTTTGCTTGCTTGCCTGCTTGCTTGCTTTGTTCTGTTTGAAACAGGTTCTCACTGTGTAGCTTTGGCTGTCCTGGAACTCACTATGTAAACCAGGCTAGCCTCAAACACAATGATCTACCTACCCCTGCCTTCTAAATGTGCACCACTATGGCCACTGAAGTAATTTTTTAATATAAGTTAACAGTCCACTTTATTTTAACTGGTATGTAGCATAATTTGAATTTTGGGAAAATTAGGTAGAATCAAATCACTGATGTTGGCATCTTGTGGATTTAGTCATATTTTATTTTTTGCGCTGGAGATTGAGCCCAGGGTTTCAAGCATGCCACAATAGTGATCTAACACTGATAAATTCCCCTAGCCCATTTCCTGCCATTTTTTAACCTTGAATCTGTTCTATTTTTCCCTTCTGTCTCTGTTGTTGTTGTTGTTGTTGTTCTATTTTACACTTTTAAGTGTAAAATATCAAATTAGAAAATTAGATGTTTTTGTGACCTATTTCTAGGAAAAATGAGTTAGTAAAGTAAGAACAATACCACGAATATAAAGTCTGTTCCTGTGTGTTGTTGTAGTCTGGCAGAGTCAGAGTCATATTATAGGAAACAATGAGAATAAATAAACTGTCCAAAGTTCTGAGTGTCAAGAACAGTTTTTAAATCACTTTCCTTGTCCCAAACTCATATAAAGAAAAGTATAGGAAGAGCTGTACTTGGTGGCACATGCCTGTAATCCCAGCACTAGGGAGACTAAAACTGAACAGGGTCTTTACATGACATACATACTTGGCTATCACCTTAGTGAGAATGTGACTGGCCCCTCAGCAACAGTTTTATGAGTCTTTTGGGGGAATTTGGAGGGGGGGTTGGTTTTGGTTGGTTTTTGACCTGATAATCTCTTACTGCTTCTATTTTTAAAAGTTTTACCATGTAGTTTTTTTTTTTAATATCATGGTTTAATTCTGCCTTTTTCAACTTACATGTGCATATAAAATAAAATCATGTCTATTTTTTTAAAATTTATTTATTATGTATATAGTGTTCTGGGCACCAGATCTCATTATAGATGGGTGTGTGTCATCGTGTGGTTGCTGGGAATTGAACTCAGGACCTCTAGAACATCAGTCAGTTCTCTTAACCTCTGAGCCATCTCTCCAGCCCCTGTCTATTCTTTATATCTAATTTTTCAATGAACATCCTATTATATTTCTGATAATCAGGTACTGGTTATATAAATTGTAGAATACCATAGGAGAAGCTGGACATAGTGGTGCACACCTTTAATCCCAGCATTTAGGAGGCAGAGGCAGGCGGGTCTCTGTGAGTTCAAGGCCAGCCTTACCTAAAAGAGTGAATTCCAGGACAGCCAGAGCTGCTTCACAGAGAAACCCTGTATGAAGAAACCTGGGGAAAAAAATAAAGAAAAAAAGAAAACACCTTCTATTTCACTGTATACCTAATGTTTTCAGTGAGTATTTCTGTAAGAAGCTGTAATGACTTCACTTTGTATGAATCTTCTTGTATAAAGCAAGAACGAACAAAGTATGTCTTCTCATGTTTATACAATACCATTTAGGCTTTATTCATTAACTGTAAAATAGCTGACTCTCTAAACCTTTATTTTCTTTTTTAAAAAAAAAGACTTAAGATTTTTTTTTTTTTGGTAGGAGGAATAAACATGGTGTGTCTCGGAAGAAGATTGCTCAGATGTTGGATCGTTATGAATTTCAAATGTCCATCTCTATTGTGATGAATTCAGTGGAGCCATCACAGAAAAGCATACAAAGACCCCTCCCTCTCCCGGAGGAGCCGAGGTGGGGAGGCTCTCTAGACTCACAGGGTCAAGCACCTGTCACCGATAGCTCTTAAGCTGGCTGACTAACTGACATGCTGATTACTTTGAGAACAAAGTAGTGAGCCTGTCTTCATTTTGAATAGCTTCAAATAAAAAGAAAACTATTCTTATGTTGCTCTATAAGGGCATTCCCTTAAGTTGTTTAGATCCTAAAGTACAAATAAAAATTGTGTAAAATTGTATTTTAAATGTTTTTATAATCTTTTGTGATAATACTTTTGGTTATTGTGAATACTACAATGAAAAGGGAACTGGGATTTTTTCTAAAACTGAATTTTAATCATCTATTTTAAATATTGTTGAACTGCTTTTTAAATAGTTCATACTTTAAATTTTAATAAAAACCAACATTTTCCCATCATTACCCTAAATATACAGAAATACTAGCTTTTTATGCAATATTTTATACTTGATTCCTTTAATTTGGCATGCTAGTGGATTATGTTTCAACTAATTCATAAGTGTGACAGCATTAGCTCTAAGCCATAATTAGCATCTCACATAGTTCAATTTCTCAGCAAATGTTAGACAGTAGGGATATTAATCATCTTGTGGGTCGTATATTTATATTCAGACCCCCTTCCTCTCCAGGGAGGGGACAACGGTGGGAGGCTCTTTGCTCTCTGGGCTCACATAATCAAGTTATTTATGCTTAGATTCCTACTTGGAGTTTTAGGAAGACTAGAGGCAAGGCAAGTCATATAGTTTTAAAAGCCTGTCAGACAATTCTGATAATGATTCAGGTTTTTGTTTTTTTGGGTTTTTTTTTTTTTTTTGCTGTTGTTAAATTTGATGCAATATAATTCTGACATAAAAATATTTTGGTGGCAGTGGTGGTGCACCTTTAATCCCAACACTCATTAGGCAGAGGCAGGTGGATCTCTATGAGTTTGAGGCTAACCTGGTCTAGAGTGAGTTCCAGGACAGCTATGACTGTTAAGACAGAGAAACCCTGCCTGGGGGGGAGGGGGGAAAGATGGGAGGTAGTTGCTTAGCACTGGTCATTGTTCTGTGCAGTATTATTTCTCCTGGTTCCAGTTCTTCCTGTGGAGCCAGCTACGTTTCTTTATTGAGTAGCTTCCTTTATTAGATTATATTCCTTTTCTTAGAAATTAAAAATTTAGATGCATTACATCATTTTTGATTCTTGTAAGTCATTTCCATCTTCAAGCACAGCTTTGCATAGTCTGTTCCTATTGAGCAGTACGAGTAACTCTACCACTTCTTACTAGAATACATTTTTTCCCCAATATTGTATAGAAAATGTTTCTTTAATCTCTAGTTTATTTTTCTAAGAAAAATTCCAGATAATTACAATGTAATTTCAAAAATTAATTTATCTTGATCCTGTGTATGCTTTGCATGTAATGCATCATGACTCTTAAATTTTTCCTAAATAGCCTATTTTAAGTCATGTAATCTTTGTGTGTTATTTTGAAACCTTTTGCTGTTTTTTGCAAGTTGTGAGACCGAAAACAAAGTATTGTCAGCTAGGTCTTTTAATCATGTTGTTGTTACTGACTAAGATTGTGACTGCTGCTCTTTACTTGCCTGCTGTGTGCTGTTGATATTTGAGGAGCTCTGATATATCTTCTTACCCTGTTCAGCACATGTATGTGTGTTTGTATATATTTGTTCATCCTAACTAAACATGTAGTAGGAATATGCTAACACATGTTCTGTATGTGTGTATACACAAACACATTATACATCTCTTTTTGACATAAGATTGCTTTTTAATTTGGGTTTTTGTTGTTTTCCAGTATATTATTTAAATTAACCCAGTTTGAAAACCACACTAAAAGGTTAAGCTTAGGGATAGGTGAAGCAACTGTTGGATGCTATGTCTCTAAGAGACTTTATCTAGTATAAAGAAACCCTGTCTCAAGAAAAAAAAAAGAAGAAGCAGCAAAAGAAAGAAAGAAACTTTATTTAGAATTGGAGTGTTGCTCTTCCAAAGGACCCAATTTGATTCCCAGCACCTATAAAAAAGTGGCTAATAAGCAGCTGTAACTCCAATTCCAGGGACCCCAACACGACTAGTCTCTGTGTGCACCTGTACTCATACACATAGATGTCCTAATGCACACAGGATTTAAGGAGCTTCATTTTAGCCAGTGGTGGTGGTGGTGCATGCCTTTGATCCCAGCACTTGGGAAGGAGAGGCAGGCCTTTAGGAGATACAAACTGAATAAGTACAATGCTAGATTTCTTTTACAGACTCAATTTTTAGCTTTGTGTATTTTGGGAATTAATAATCATTTAGAGATCATCAATCATTGCTGTGTAATTTTTAAAATTGTGAATTTTTTTCGAAGCAGGAAAAATGGGTGTTCTCAAAGACTTTTTAAAGGTAGAAAATTACTTTATAGTTCTTCCAAGCATTGTGCCTCATTTTAAAAAAATAACAATAATGGAATAAAAGATACTAACATCAAGTAATTATTGGGTGCTAAAAGCTAATAAAAGTATAAAATTTACCTGTTAATCTTAGCATTTTTTTTTTAATTTGGATGTAATTTTGATGCCGCTAGTGCCACATGTCACTGTAGTATGGTTTCCATTGCAAAGAATGTGTAGCCATTAGTTGCTGTGTTTAAGGTGTGCCACTCAGCTTCTATTCTGATTCTGTAAGAACAAATAAGAATTTCTTGGGATTTTGTTTTGTTTTTAGCCTTTGAGTAAAAATGACTACCTAATTGATAAACACACTTATGATTATCTTCGTTATAATCTTGTTAGTAAAGCCATCAAGTTGAACTTTGGCTCTGTTTTTCAAGTGGGAAGTTTTATTACCATTATTCCCCCTTTAAAGAAAACATTGATTGTTTCATACATTTATCTGTTTAAAAGTAAAATTTAAAATAAAATAATTGGGTTTGTTGTTGAACTGACAATTGATTTAGGTACTTGAAGTTTGTTTATCTCTAATATAGATTATTGAACTCTTCTAGTTTTACATATTGATAAGTTTTTAAAGGATTCATAATTTCAGATGAAATTTATAGCATCTAATTTTTCTTTGAAGTGTTCATATTTTATTCAGATTTTTATTACAAACCTGTCAGAAGCTAATTTTCTAAGTAAAGATAAATGAATAGTGTGTTGTTACCCATTTGAATTGTTGGAGAAATACCATTAGTTGTTACTGTCATTAGTAGTCTCTAGAGCTCTGTGTTTACTTCTTAGTTCATTGGTATATAAATGTATCCTGACATGAATGCTTTAACTGAGAAGGGCTAAAGTTACAGCTGTTGTTAATCTTTATTCCACATACAGTGATGCATTACAGTAGAGTTCTAGAAAAGAATTAGTTTTATTTTGATACTATGGTCATCCAGAAGAGATAATTCAGTGATAGTATAAAATATAGATTGTTGGTAATTTTAAGGTTTTATGGGTTACACAATTTATGGATATTTTTCTATTAAATTTATTAGCTATATTTTTGTTCACTGGGAAAGAGAAACTAAATTAAAATTAGGCAGTTGACAAATATACTGCTGGAGATGGTTGTTTTTACAGAATAATGTTGGCATGCTGGGTGTGATGATATGTGCCTTTGACCCCAGCACCAGCAGCAGATATCTTTGAGTTCAAGGCTAACCTGGTCTGCATAGCAAGTTCCAGTGAGATTATGTCTCAAAAAAAAAATTTTGGCATAACAATTTTTTTTAATTAAGGCACCATTAAAACAATAGCTTTGTATACATACCAGATTTTTTTTCTTTCGACTGTCCTCGGGGTGGTAAGGAGCAAGATTTGTTGAGATACATTGTAGAAGAGCCATTAGTGCTCATCTGTGTCTATTGGGTTTTATGGTTGTTGTTGTTGTTGTTTGCTTATTTTTGTAAAAATAGTTAGATAGATTTCAGTTTAGTTGATTCAAATTGTCATATTTGTGTTTTGCCTTCATGTATATATGTGCACGATGCATGCAATACCTAAGGATGTCAGAAGAGGGTGTTAGATCCTGTGAGCTGCCATGTGGATGCCGGGAACTGAACCTGGTCCTCTTTGAGTGCAGCCAAACCACCGAGCCATTTCTCTGATTTCCAAATTGTTGACTATTTTAAACCTTAAAAAAAAATTCACTGTTTTGTGCTTTGTAAATTTCAGAGTAAGCATTGATAGGTATGTAAGTATTGTGTGCCTCTAATCTTTATAAACTTGTGGAAGAATGATTGTAACTGACAGTGTCCAGATTATAGTGAATGGAATACATCTGTAAATGATGATTTAGAACAGCCTCTTTATGGAAATTCTTGATACATTGTCACTGTCGGGTTATGCAGAGGAAAACGGATATTGTGTCACTAATAACTCTTGGTGGTTTGTTTGTTTTTGCATTTTTAATCACGCCAGCATGTGTGTGACATGTGCCATTGCATGCATGGAGGTCAGAGGACTGCTTGGAAGAATAGGTTCTCTCTTCCATCATGTGAGTGTCTAGGGTCAAACTCAGGTAGCTGGGCTTGTTGGCAACTGTTTTTACCCACTGAGCCAGCCATCTTGCAAGCCCATGAGATAATTCTTAAAAAAGTTCATTGCAGTAAAGAGAGTGATTCTTTACTTTAAAAAACTCCTTTCTTTAAAAAACAAAACAAAAAACCTACTTTCCTGTAGCCTATGGCCTATGCTGGCTTCAAACTCATTGCATAACTGAGGATGACCTTAAAACTTAAACTTAGATCCTTCCTGCTGCCGCCTCCCAAGTGCTGAGGTTACAGGCAAGCAATCATCATTCTTCCTTGGGTTGGAAATTTTTAATTTTAAATGTTTTTTTTAGACATTATTGGAAGTTTTAGTCATTTTTATTAGGAATAATCTGTTTTTCTTCAAAGATCTCGTACTAGTAATCCTGCCACATTTCAGGTGTAGTAAGTATTTCAACAATTATATACATAATACACCTCTGAACACTTGGTTTGTTAACTTGAGGAAACTGTACTTAAAACA